TATTCATAAAGCGGTGCTACGATATTAAGATGAGCACGGAGTTGACGGGTGAGATTAAGTGTGGTGGGATGATCACAATCATCGCCAAGGCATTGGGTTTCACCGGTTGGGTTAACCAATTAACCCCAATTGAAGGCCCTAATGCTCTTGACCTTGCCGGTTTTGCCACAATGAATATGATTGTGGAAATCCGGGGAAATGTGACCACCTACTCTTGGTTGGTCAAAGGGAAGCACCGTTGCATTCTCCCTAATGCGGCGGTTATGAACACCGTGGGAACCACTTGGCAAGTGCCAAATGAGCCACTCCCCGACAATGTTCCCGACCTTGATCAACCATCTCACCACCGCCACCATAGCATCTCTTCCATTCCAAATTTCATGGGCGGTCAATCCTCTTCCTCATCTTCCTCCTTCAACCTCGAGTCGGCTTTCCACCATCTTAACCTTTATAACCAAAGAATTCTCCAAGAAAATGAATATCAAAGCTATGTCTCCCAAATGTCCTACCAAAACCTCATTGAAAGGGGAGATTTTCTCCCTTATGTCAACTATCCTCACCGACCCGTTCAAGAAGGGCCGGTTGCGGGTTGGAACAACAACCAACCCACCTACTCTTATTGGCAAGGACCCCGTAGCTCCATTCGGAGTTTCGTTCCTTCCCTCCCTACGATTATACACAACCCGGGGGTTGTGATTTTAGTGGGGACCCCTCTTACTACCACGTCCCCGAGACATGTGGTAGGATGACTCCGGAGGAGATCGATAACCACCCCTAAAGGGGATACTTCGGGTTCCCACCCGGGTATAATGGTGGTTGGGGCACTAGTGATGCACCGGACTACGGTCATTACCGTAGTTGCCCCAACTATGATCTCCCTCCCTATGTGCATCAACCTTCCTACTCCGGCGATGTAGATCCTAACTACAATTTCTTGTCATCGCCGAGTAGGGAGGAGTGATCGGGAGTAGGCTTAGGCTTTTGTATTTACCGTTCCCTTTTACTCTTTCCCGTCTTTTGTGACACCGAGGGCGGTGTCAAGTTCTAGCTTGGGGGGGAGAGTTGTCCTCTTCGTGTCTATCTTTTGTGGGTACGGTATTCAAAAGTCTAGCTTGGGGGTGGTCTTGGAGTTTTTATGCCTATGAGTGGGTTTTGGTTTTGGTAGGATGTGTGCTTTCTTGTGATGCTTTTTGTGCTATGTATGGAGAGGTTTGAGTTTGTATGTGGAATGTTTGGCATGAAAGGCTTAGTTTAGCCTTTGGAACTTGTGGTAGGATTCATATGGTATTATGTTCTAGTTTGCATGCCTATTTTAGGTTGGTTGTTGCCTTTTTCACGTCTTTATGGCATGCCTAGGCTAGAACAATTGCATATTGATGTTTTTGTCTCACTTCTCCTTATGTGTGTACTATTTGGAGCATCTTATCTATGGCTTTGATATGATTATGCTTTGGTTGATTTGCTTGTTGGTTGGTATCATGGGTTGATTGGCATTGTCCTTGGTCTTTCATGATGATGAAATTTGATGATGTTTTGTGCGGATTTATGATGATGGTTTCCCATAATATCCAAATTTCTTTTTCTTATCCTCTAACCCCTCTAACATCAAAATTCCCTAATATCCAAAACCCGAATATCCAAATTCTTTAATTAGTTTTCCTTTCCCCCATTTTCAGCTTTCTAAAAAAAAATGAGCTAAAAAAAAAAGATTTTGTTTGCCTTTGATCGGTTTGCAATGATGATATTGAATTGTATGTGGTGGATGTTTGTTTTCTTTTCGTAATAAAATTCCGAGCATGGTTTAGATGCCCTTGGTTGAAAATAGAATTGGTTAGTTTAGGCTAGTGTGAGAATAACTTTCCCGAATGTACGAGACTTAAAGTCTAGGTTTGTGGTAAGATGGAGTCGCCTATCTCAAAGGAATTTGATCCCCGGATGGTAGTATTTGATCCCACATTGTTCCAAAAAAGGTGAGGTTTTATTATTTTTCAAGCCTAACTCAAGGGATGAATGAAGAATAAAAAGAAAGGGAAATAATGCGAAGAAGGAATGTATTGTCACCTCCCTAGCAACCAAATAAGCTTGGGGGTGTACTCTAAAAAGTTCATTCATAGTTGCAACTTGGGTCAAGGTTAGAAGCCTTTTTGGGTTTGCTATAAATGATACAATTTAGTCGTCTCATATTGCAAAACACTTCTAGTTTTATATATATGCCTCAACCTTGTGTCGTAGTCCTTCAGTCTTGTAATGATTAGGAGAGTAGTGGATGCCTTTGTCGGTGGAGGGAGTTGATTCGCAAGCATATGGAGAGGGTACTCTTTCATTGAGCGTTCGAAACCCGCTTTATCTATGTTTTTTCGGCTCCTTCGTGGAGTCACGAGACACTACCATTAGGGGGGGATTTGAACTTTTTGATAGGGACGCGGTAAGATATGTTGAATAGGCTTGAGTTGAGTATTTTCGGGAAGGTTAGCTAGGCTTTAGCTAGCCATGACCGTGGTTGATCTTAGGCATATACCTCATGCTCGAGTTTTATTGCTTAAGTATTCTTATATCTATGCATGTGCTTTTCTTTGAGCAAATTGATCTTTGGGTTTGTTTATGGGCAACGTGAATTGCTCGAGGACAAGCATTTGGCTAGCTTGGGGGAATTTGATAAGTGGTTTATTTGACCACTTATTGTGTTAATTTAAACCCGGTTTTGCGATCATTTCCCCTCTTTCTAACCCAATTTTTGAATGAAAATAATCTGTTTTGACTTTCCCCCTCTTGGTTTGTTTTTGTCCATGTTTTGCAGGTCTATGGACTCAATTTGGCAAGCTTTCGGTGCATGGTTTGTGTTTAAGGCAAGAGAATTAAAGGATGGAGAGTGCGCTCCAGCAGGGGCGGGCGTGCACCCCTCAGGAGCGGGCGCTTCGATCTTTCTGCCAACTTTCTGCCAAAGCTTCAAGTTTGCACACCCTGGAGGAGCGGGCGTGCAGCCTTGAGGAGCGGGCGCTCCTGGCTGTGGAGCGGGCGCTCCTCGCTGGGAAATCTGTTTTCTTTGACGGATTTCCCTATGTGTTACGGGGAGTATTAATACTTCCTCCTTTATTCATTTGTAACCCAGATAGATATAGCCTAGTTTTTAGAGACTCCTCTTAGTTTGAAACATTCCTTTTAATTAATTTAGCTTAATTTTCATCAATTCAATCATTGTAATAGTTGGTTTCAAGTTTGTTTCTCAAGATTGGCCCTTTGTATTCAACAATTTCAAGCCTCAATTAGTAACTTCCTTCTACTTTTCTCCATTTAATTTCTGATTTTATTTGTTGTTGCATGATATTTAAATCTTCTTAGTTCTTGATAATTTGTTATTGGATGATAGTTATTTCAATTGTTAATCATTTTTCCCCAATTATTGAAGAAGTTAGAACCCTAATACTTGTTTGCATGTTGATAAATATGTGTTGTGAGCAGTCTACTTGCTAGGGGTTGGGTGAAGCTCAACCTTTTGGGTTAATTATGCAAATGTGGGAGAAGCATTGATGCTTGTATTGCAATTAAATTGATTATATGAGATTGTTTGTTAGTTCTTCAATGATAGGATTAGCTACCCTTGATTTAGGAGCTTGATAGTATGATATGCTTAGTTTGACATGGAAATGTGAATGAAGCATGGCATTACTTATTGCAATTTGATTATGTATCTTCTATTGCTAATCTAATAAGGAATCTAAGTTTAGTAGTGTGAGTTGTTTCCTAATTGCATGAGGTTGATCTTACATATAGTCCTTGCTATATCTTATCAATTTCACTCCCCGTTTGTCTATTTGCCTTGGTCGAGTGGATCCTATTCCCTGGTGTCCTCAATCCATTGATTTAGAACCATAGTTTGTTTGTCTTCTTGACGAGCCATAATTCACCATTGACTTCGAATTAGCTTAAGTGTTAAGATCTTTGGCAACCATATCCCGTTCCTTGTGGACCGCACTCTTACTTGTCATTATGCTTGGTTTGTAAGGTGTTTGTTAATAAATGTGTTTGATTGAGTGTGGAATGTGCGACCGTTCTAACGCCCATCAGACGCACCCGAATCAAACATGACTCTAGCTAGAATTCAAAGAACAAACAAGGAAAGTGCCAATTACCACATCATTAGAAGCCTCAGCCTCACGACGATTCATCACGAACACACGACCCTTAGGGGCCCCTCCTGCACCGCTACTGAATCTATTCCTTTGAGCTGATCCATTGGTCTGGGGTGGTTTAGGTGGGTTATTGGTCTCCTAGACTTTCCCCATTTTAACATCCTTCTCCTTGGTGTAGCACTCATACTCCCGATGCCCCAGTTTCTGACAGTAACGACAAGTCACAGGGTTTCCCTCACAGTCCTTCCCTGGGTGATTTTTCTCACATCTCTTACAAAAATAACTTCTCTTAGGCCTGGTGTTATTTCCATTCCCATGATTGTTATCTCCCTTCCAAAGGTTTCCCCTATTGTCCCTCCTGTTGAATTGCCCATTTCCCCCAGAACTCTCACCAATCCTAGGCCTCTTATCAACTCCATGAGAACCCCCATCACTCTTCCTTTTCCCTCTTGCTGAGTTCTCTAACTCTCTCCCTCGGATCCCATATAGGTGGGCAGCTCTCCCATAGACTTCATCTAGTGTTTCAAAGGTTACCCCTCCCAACTTCCCCTAAAGACTTAAGGTTAAACCTTGCTCGAACCTTTGGGTATTCAACTCCTCCGTGGGTACTACACTACAAGAAAAAGAGGAATTAGCAACAGAAATTTGCGACTACCCTAATAATCAGTCGCAAAAAATATATTTGCGACTAATAAAGACGGGCAGTCACAAATTTTGCAACTGATTTTCCACTAGTTGCTACGCGGTCGCTAATTTGCGACTGAATTTTGCAACTACTGTAATAATCAGTCGCAAAAAATATATTTGCGACCGACTAAAATGAGTAGTCCCAAATTTTGGGACTCATATTTGCAGTAGTTGTAATGCCGTCGCTAAATTGCGACGCTCTTATAATTTTTGCAACTATAAATTGTAGTTGTTGGGTTAATGATTTTCAAACTTTTTTAATTTAAAATTTGCGACTAATATTGCAACCAAGTTAGTAGTCGTTAGTCGTTCGTTCTTAAAATTTATTAAAAAAAAAAGTCGTAAATATAATGAGGAGTTGCCACCAAAAAAACAAAAAAGGAAAAAAACTAACTTAATCACTCTAACAGTGTAACTCTAACCCATATATACACTGTGTAGTACGAAACTCTTCCTCCATTAAAAAGAAAAAAAAACACACAGAAGGCAATTTTCAGAGATTCAACCCTAACTGTAGCTCTTCATCTTCCTCCGTTGCGCCACCACGTCTCCTCCCGGGTAAGTTTAAACGACGTTTGATGTCACTTCTATCATTCGCTAATTGTAATTTGCAACTACGAATTTTAGGGTTTATCATTGAATTTTTCGTCTAATAAATTGATTTTAATTTGGTTTCCATGATGTAATTTAAGTCAGTTAATGAAAAATCGTTCAAAATTGATTGAGTTTACTAAAATTGCTAAATTTTTTTTTCAGTGTATAAATCGCAATTCTAACTATCTCAACCCCTATATCTATATATTTTTTTTCTATTAGTTGTTAAATACTATATATTTTCTGAAGAAGGGGGTTCGTTGGTTAGAGTGTAACTCTAATTGGTTAATTAATGGATGGAGGTTATTGAGGTTCTCTCGAATTCCATTGAATTCTTGTTTTGGTCTGAATTCTTGTTTTGCTTGGAATTCTTGTTTTGCTCTGACTTTATTCTGTTTTTGAGCCTAATTTGCTGCTGGCTGGTTGTTATGACAATAATTGTGGTGGGTTTATGGAAAGGGTGCGAGGGAGAAGTAGGTGCATCAATAGGGTGTGAATGTGTGGCTGCTAGATGCGTGGTTGTTGCATGGTTGTTGTTGTTGTTGTAGGGGGAATAATAGTGGCTTGGTGTGTGGTGCATTTGGTGAATGAATGGGAGTTAAGTGTAATGCTGCTAGTATTGTGGGTTATTAGGTGTTTTAAACCACCGATTGAAGGTTAAATTGACCCACCGAGTGATGCATTCGACACATTTACATATGATTCCTTCTCATTTACAGCAATTTGGGTTGGTTTTTGCCCAGCATTTTAAAACCCCATTTGGGTCTTCTGTAAATGAGTTCATCACTTCTAAGAGAGTTTCCAAAGTTGAGTGTTTTTTAGGATGAAACATTTGCCAAAAACAGAGTAAAATAACACAATGAAAACCTCAAAAATGCCATTTTAATCAATTAAACTGTACAAGTGTACAACTACCTAGATCATTAAATTTGAATTTGAATTTTATGAGGAAATTTTGAAAATTGAAGTGAATTTTACATATTTTGTGGTGTAATTTCCTTATCCAAAATAGAAAGTTACCCAGAAGAAAAATAAAACAGAGTATAAGTACTCAAAGATGCAATCTTTAATCACTTAGACAAATACCCAGATTCTAAATTTTGCAGACAATGAAAAAGGAGCAAATTTGGAGTGAAGTTTTAGCTTTTTTTGGGTGTAATTTATGAAGTGAAAAAACAGGGGATTTTTTATGATCAATGCTCTATTCGAAAAATAAATGTGGGAATATGGACAGGTGAAAGTGAAAGTATTATGGGTATTCTGAAAATTGCATGCAAAATGAAAAGAAATGAGTCAAAGTGATGTGGGAAAAGGTTTCAGTTTGAAGGTTGTTGTAAATGGCATTTAAAAAAGGAGTTGACTTTTTCAATCTTCTGATAAATTTAGAAAGACAACAACTACTATATTACTATTGACTATTGCAAATTTGTAATCAAACCCAGATAAAGAAAATAGACCTAATAAGTAAACTGAGGAAAAAGGGATGGGTTTCATTCTAGCAAAAACGGCTACTACAAGGGTGACTTATGACCACCACCAGGTCACAAATCTCAAGGGTTACTAAATTACACAAGAAATTAGCTACCAATCGCAGTGCCACTTCTCCCCTTTTTATATGTACAATGTTGAAAAAGGATCCCAACTACTCCCCTGTCCTATGTGTGATAGTTATTTGGCAGGCTGTTGTCACTTGGTGTGCTACTGCTGCTTTCTTCATTCTTTCCCTCCTTGTATATGTGATCAGTCTACGTGGCATGCCAACTCCTTTGTTCATTGTAGGTTTAGGATAGTTTTTGGATAAAATTTTGGAATAAATCAAGTGTTTGGCATTATGCTATGTTTTTAGGCATTACTTAACGAACTGCTACTACTTTTACTCGGTTTCTCACAACTAAAGCAAGAGCAAAATAAATCAGAAAGAACAGTAAAGAAAATGAGGGAAGTTGGGCTGCATTTTGTAAAATAAATCAGAAAGAACATTAAAGGATACAATTGCCACATTATACCTAACTAAGCCAATCCCTACTACTCCTTTTTATATGTCCCCTTTTTTTTTGTTTATTTTTTCAGTTCTAACAACTTCTTCTAATAAGGAAAAGAAAAAGGATAGAGTTTTACAAACTGCTGCTAAAGTCTATGAAAGCACTCATTCTGTTGATGTGGGCAATGATGAAATCGAATTGATGGGTGAAAAGACTCATCAAGTCATGGTGTGAGTATAGTTATATATTTTGCTAAGATTACAAAAAAATGTATGGTGGTTAATGCTATTAGATATTATAGATTATTTAATTGTTTGTGTGATAATTGGTATGGAATACTGTGAATTGAAACAGGTTTTGAAGCCAAAGCTTTTTGGAGGGAATTGTTCAATTTACAAAGGAGACTCTGCCGAAATTTTTTCTAATAATTGTTTGCATTAATTATTTTATTGTTAAGTGTTGCTCTTTTTTTGTCTTTTAAGTTTTAACAATTGAGATCATAGTTACTAATACATATCTTAATGCAGGAGAATATATGGAAAACTTGAGGAAATATAAGAACAAAGGATGACAAAGTCTACTTGGAGGTTGTATGTGGGCAAAAGAATGAAAAAGTCTAAGGTTTAGGGAGTGCTTCACAAATGTACTACAAGAGCGTTCCTACTCACCGTACTACATATTGTATATCGTCATTAGTTCTTGTTTGTAATACGAGAGGTGATTTTTGAAACAATTAGTCTTATGGTTACTAATATTGTTTTGAATACATTGATACAAAATTGATGATGATATTTTGGATATTCGAATAAAATTAATATTTTGGTTTTTTGAATTTTTGCGTGGGTACTTTTTTTATGATTGATATTAGTCATAGCTAAATTATGGCCTCCAAATATTAATAGCTCGTCGCAAAAATTCAGCGACTACAAGAAATCTGCATAGTTGGAATAATTGGTTTCAGTAGTCTCTAATCTGTCACAAAAAAATAATTTTCATAGTCGCAAAAGTTAGGTCTTGTAGTCGCTAATCCGTCGCGAAAAAATTAGTCTCAATAGTCTCAAAAATTTGGCCTTTAATTGCAAATCCATCGCAAAAAAATCAATCTCTATAGTTGCAAAAGTTTGGTTTCGTAGTCGCAAAATTTGGTCTTATAGTTGCTAATCTGTTGCAAAAAAGTTTTAAAACATTAGTTTTCGTAGTCGCTAATCCGTTGCAAATATTTTACGACGGACAATGATATAGTTGCTAAAATTTGAAAGTTAGTCGCTAAATGGCAATTGCAAAGTCGTTGCAAATTCCTCGCTAAATTTGCGACAGTTCAAAAATTAGTCTCAAAAATGGATTTGCGACGAGGTCTTTTCCAACTAACCAAAGTAGTTTCTAATCCGTCGCAAATCCATTTTTGCGACGGATTTGCGACTACTTTGGCCGTCGCTAATACCCCTTTTTCTTGTAGTGCTACCTTAGGTGCAAACCTCATCAACTCAATAAATTTATTATAATATTCATTAATGGTCATATTCCCCATCCTCAGATTGGTAAACTCCATGCATTTCTGCTTCTTCAGGTAGGCGAGATAAAACTTGTCTCTTATAGCCTTCTTCAATTCTTTCCACCCAAAGTTAGGGGTTTCTAAAAGCCTAGTCCGGTTTCGACTCCACCATAGGTCAGCTTCTTCCCTCAAGTAATAAACATCATTATTAACCTTCAATTCTTCAGGACAGTTAATGGCATCAAACAACTTGTCAAATTCCCTTATCCGATTCTCCAAACTAGCAGGATCCTCATTCCCAAGGTAAGTGGGTGGTTTTGCAGCTGCTACCCTCTTTAAAAACTTCCCCAAATTGATCTAAGTCGTTGCTACGATTACCCTGACTCACCAGCTGGCTCATGCTTTGAGCAACGGTAGTTAGCTTCCTAAAAGTAGAGCTCATTTTGGAACCAGTGCGTCTACTATTTCCAGCTCTTAGAGACATCCTGAATAACTTAAAATAACAAATAATACACATTTATTATATAAGAAAATTTCATAAAACTCTTATTAAAGATTGAAACTCCATATTTAGCCATATAGGCTTATTAAAATAATTAATTCATCTTGTCACTACAAATTCATAAGGGCCACTAGTTGGCTTACAAAACAAAACAATTTGCTATTAATGGAAGAAATTAATCAATTATTATTCTGAAGTTCTACTCTTGGTCTTAGCTTGCTGGATCATCTTTATCGCCATGTCACCTGTGTTTCCTGTGGAAAGTTGAGGGGAATCAGGTTCTAAAGGTTTAGCCATGTGGGTTGGAATTTGGTTACATTCAAGCAAGAAGGTAGGATAAAATTCACTATAAGTTGGGCTACGGCACGAGCCATAGCTAGAGTTGCAGTTTGGGCTAACATAGGGGCTAGGGTTGCGGTTTGTACTATGTTTTGGACTAGATACTCGACCTCTTGGGACAAGGGGTTCAGGAGAATGAGGTGGAGATTCAAAGTCATTTGGGTGAGGGATTTCTAAGTCATCGGATGATGTATAGTCAAGATGCAAACGTGGAGGTGGTAAGGGTGGCATATCATCGTTTAGATTATTTAACTTTTAGACTTCTTATGGTGTAAGCCGAAGAGGAATTTCACCAACTATTGGTCTTGGGATTCGACTCCAGTCAACTTCGGCGAAATGTAGGTCTGCTTTAAAATTGGTTAAGGTTCCTAGCCATTTTCCTTCATCCATATAGGCTTCAATATTCCACAACCCATTTGGTTTAATTAAATTTCTATACTTTCGGATTAATGTATTATATTTAGGTGTGTTGGGTAAGTGAACTAAGGCCAGTAGGATGATCCATGGTTCCTCGATCATAAATTTCATATTCCTATGTCTTTTTATATCAGTAGCATGCCAAACAATATCTGTTATAAAGTCACGCACAGATATAGCATCCGATATTACTAGCCTTTGATCAAAGAAATGTCTTCTAACAGTTTCCATCATCTGTGATAACACAAACTATTTAAGTAAGCAGTTCCAATTTCCTCAAGGATAAATCCAAAATGAATACCAATGGAACCAAGATTCCATAACCACACAAATAACTAGACGACCCTAATTATACTTAGATTAATGCACATTAGGTGTTTACAAAATCAAATAGTTTCAATTCATTATGTTTTCGAAAATAATAACGTACTCAATTCTTGATATTGGACGGTCGAGCCCGCGTCTCCCAGGAAAGTTACCTACAACGTCGAGGCGAGCCTTTCCTAGACAGAGAATCGTACCCATTATACGCCTCCGAAGAGAACCCGAGCATCCTTTTCTCAATCACCTTTCCAAAAAAGAAAATAGTTTTTATAGAAAATAATTTTACTTCGAAGAATGCGAAACTCTATCTATCCTATATGCCCATCTTAAGTCTACCCATAAGTTTTATTTTTCAATTTTAATCTTTCGTAGACTCGGAAATCTGATACCACTTTGTAACACTCCCAAATCTCCCTCTACGTAAATAATATATTTATACATATAGAAATACTGTAGAGATAGACTTGGGCGTATTACCGCCACGTGAAAACGTGAGGCTTAATTAATTACTCAAATTGAAGCGGAAAAATAACTAACTTTTATTAATAATATGAATAACCATAATAACTGTTTCAAAATAAACCAATAAAAACTTGTCCATACATAAAATAAAATTAATTCCTATCTATGTGATCCCAATCCCGACTCTAGTATGCGCACGAACAACTTTACACCTGAAATCAAGACTGCTTACCAAAATGGTAAACAGGGCGAACCAAAACACAAAGGAAAACAGATTAGCAAAAACGCTAAGTACGTATAAGTGCAAGACATGTAAATACTTTTATTAGGCAAACATGCTTTCGAAATAACCATTTAAATTTAAACCTGTCACGAGTCATTTTCCAAAATTAAACTTTCCAAAAATAATTAAACCTTCCAAGGGTAGTAATATCCATCAATAAAAGATGTCCGAACCAATAGATTTCCAATTTATAAACTTCTCAATTTTTGATATATTTCTAAACCAATTTTCCTCACCTAAGTGTGCACACCCCCCAAGCAAGTTATACTATACTCGAGGAAAGACCAGATCACACAAGGCTCATGGTCTTACTTAACCAGTCCCGGGTAGAGGACAATTAAAATTTCAAATACTCAGGCTCATAATGATCTACAAATTAATTAAACCAAGTGATTTATAAATCAAACAACTTTTATTAAATCGGTCAACACTTTTAGAGATCAAACCTTCAAATCATAAAATTATATACTTTAACTTGTCATGAAAATTGTTAACTTAAATATTCATACACAACATTTATTCAAACAATCATTAAAACAAACATTATGCAAAACACGCATTCAAAAATTGTATCAAGGACCTAGCCACCTATACGTACCTTGATCACGAGAACAATAAGGTACGACTACTAAACTTGACCACGATCGAGAGACTCCTCCTACACAAATAAAATAACCTTAATTAATATAAGGTTAACAAAATAACACAAAACCAAAAACACCATTCTATTGTACATGAACTATCTAAATATTAACCTTTATCAAAATAGTGCTATTAGTATAGTTGGGTGGTCGTTGGTGGCGGAAGAGGTAGTTGTTCGGTAGCAACAACTTGGTTATGGGTTGCAGAGTTTATTTAAGCTAGATAGAGTAAGAAGAAGGGGTGATGAGATAGAGAGTAGAGAAGAAAATTTCTAATTTGGTATGAATAAGTGGGAAGAATGAAGGGTCTATTTATACTGTTTAAGTGTGGAAAAGATAGAGTTTAAGAAGGTATAGGATTAGTATGAAAACTAGATAAGTTTGGTTAGTTAAATGAACTTGAATGCCATTTAGCCTAGGTTAATTTATGTGGAAAAGAAACTAATGAAAGATATTAGAGGAAAAGTAAGATAGGTGTTAATTGGTTAGGGAGATAAGATAGGAAGTAAGATAGACTAAGATACTTAACAAAGGTTGTTGGAGATAAAAGAATCACTCCAATTCTCACGGCCAACTTCATTTTTTTATTTTTTATTTTATTTTGAAATCACAGTTTAAGATAATGACTTGAAGTTAAAATATATTAGATAATATCAAATTAAAATAGTTGTATATCATAAAATATGAACTAACCAAAATAATTAATTATTATTGATTTAAGGCACTAAAATAAATAATTAAATACTTATTTTTGACGCCAAAAATTAATTTTGGCTTCTAATTCAAATAATTGAATAAATTATTAAAATATTTATTTAATATTTATTTTCAAAATTTCGGGGTATTACATTTGAAGCCGTTTTTGAGACACCCATGTGACCACCACTCGGATCTTAGTGGCACATCTTCAATACACTAGGTAACTCCTCATTTGGAACACATCTCCTCGCTCAATAACCCCATCAAAACCCCTTTTATACAAATTTGGTTCATCCCATACATAATGCCTAGTCTCCCTCTAGAGCTTTTTTTCTTCGATTCTTGGAAAATGAAGGAGGAAACTCCCAAGAAGCAAGATAGTTGACCAAATCGGCAAACCATGGGAGTTCCTTCACATATATAGCATACAAAGAATCATATAACATTCTATCTTCAATGGGAGACCCATCATCTTGAACTTGAAAATCCTCAAGTCTAGATAGATGATCCGCTACAAAATTCTCCGCTCCTTTCTTATCTCTAATCTCAAGGTCAAAAGATTGAAGCTCTAACACCCAACAAATTAGCCTTGGCTTTGATTCCTTCTTCCCAAAAAGATATTTTAGGGCCGCATGATCGGT